AGTAAAACTTAGTGATCGTTGAACATTCTTGTTTTTTGTTTCGTATCTTCAATACCTCATTTGCATGAGAAGATTTTTCACTTAATTATATCATTTTATTTTTCTCTATACTTTATTTGGCAAGGCATTCTTATTCTGATTTTGCATGATATGATTTATACTTTGTTGATAGTGGCGTATCTCGAGTTTTTTTATCAATTGGTAAAGCTCTCTTGTGTTGAAAAAATACGATGGGTGAAACGGAAAAAGTTTTTATTGATAGGCAGAATTGTTTTGCGACCATCACAGTACTGATAGTGTAGAAAAGCAAAATTCTTTTAATGAAATGTGAATCAAACTCAAATATTAAATCTGAATCAAGCGTGTTTTAGTCTATTTTTAATGTGTCTGCTTATAAAGATGACTCAGAAGAGATCCATTTTCTTTTCTAATACAAAAGAGGATGTGGATATGAAAGTAAATGAGACACACAATTATGCCCACACCAAAATTAACGTCGTGATAAAAATATATTTGAAGTCTTATCATATTTGCGTCAAGGCTACATGTTACAAACGTCGATCATATAAGTTATTTCATAGATAATCCTACTGTTTCTTTTCGAATAACCCAGGAAAGTGTTTGTTTTCTCTTGGAGGGTTCCAGTATTCAAATGTGGTTGTTGTCTATATTAAAAAATACGAAGCGGAATATGTCAGAGATCAAGAGAAAATGATGTTCACTCTTTGATATCGTGGTTCTGTAATTCCTAAATGTTCTTCAAGAGCTCGAATTCCGTTGCATCTAAGATCTAATGAAATGGGTGTCTATATGGAAAAGTGTAGGGCATAATATGATAGAGACGAAGAAAAAATTGAAAGTTACCACCTTATTTCGCCTCGTATTAAAGAGATCTTGTCTTCCGCCAGATTCGATTCTGTTACCATAGAGACCTAGTTCAATAAGTGTCTAAGTAAAAAGAAAATGACGATGAAGGTATAGAAGAGATGAAAACAGAAAATAAGGGCTACCATGTTCCGTTTTAATGCAGAAGCTAGATAAAAAGCTCCATAATCTCCAATTTCATTAATTATGAGTTCTAGTTTCGTGAGTGTCTGAATAAAATAGAGAAAATGAAGGTAAAAAAAATGGAGAGAGAATGGGAGCCACTGTGTTTTTTTCTAAAGCAGTAGCAAGATATTGTGCTCCAGTATCTCCAATCTCATTGTTTCCAAGATTAAGTATGGTGAGTGTCTGTATGATCAAGTTCAAATGGAAATATGAGAGTTATGAAGAACGAATGAGGATCACCTTATTATTTTCTAACGCAGTAGCCAAGTATTGTGTTCCAATTGGCCCGATTTCATTGTTTCCAAGATGCAATTCGGTGATTGTCTGTGTAAAACAGTAAAGATAAAAGCATCAAACAGATGAAGAGAAAATGAGGATCACCATGTTATTTTCTAATAAATCACTCAGATATTGTGCTCCAACAGAACCGATTTTATTGCTTCCAAGATCAAGATTGGTGAGTGTCTATATGAAAAAAGGCACATCGAATATGAATCATATAGAATGACAGTTACTGTATTATGCCGCAAAGCATCAGTCAAATGTTTGGCTCCTTCTTCTAAGATTTTGTTGTCGTTCAGATTTAGTTTGACGAGTGTCTATTTGAAAATGTGCAGATTGGAGTATGAGAAAGCTGAAGGAGAATAAAGATTACTGTATTTTTTTGCAATGCATCAGCCAGATATCGGGCTCCTTCAACTTTGATTTTGTTACTCCAGAGAGTTAGTATCGTGATTGTCTGTATGATTATGTTGAGACAAGAATATTACAGAGATGAACGAAATGATAGATACCGTATTGTTTGCTAGGGCAGCAGCTAGATAGTGTGTTCCGACACATCCGATTTTGTTGACTCCAAGATCTAGTTTAGTAAGTGTCTATATGATTAAATGAAGATGGAGCTAGAAGAGTGATAAAGAGAATAAGATTTACCATATTATTTTCTAATGCAGAAGCCAGATACTGTGCTTCGACAGGTCCGAGTTCAGACCGATTGAGATCTAATACGCTGAGTGTCTGTATGATTAAGTGTAAGTGGAGATATAAAAGAGATGATAGGATAATGAACACAACTAGTTCGTCTCTTTATTGTTTTGTATCAGATACTTAAGCTCGTACGCCAATAGTAGTGAACAAAACAAATTGGTTTCAGAGCTTTTATAAGAATTTGAATGTAAGCAACAAGAAAACCCATATGCAACAATTTAAATAGTCACACATTAAGCGTATTTATTTCTTGAAGATGAAAGAAATCTGAATCTATCGAAATGTTCAAATTTACCTGATATCGATGATAGGAGTCCATAATTACATTCAATCTTGCACAAACATTGCGAATTGAACAAAATAATGCAAAGTTATCAAGCTTGTCCAATATGCAATAAACAAGATCAACTGGTAAAGCCAAAAAAGCCGGTGAACTCTGATTAATCATAAGTGTTAATCTCTTTCGAAAAGTATGTATCTAGAAAATGACTAAGTGCTGAAGTGTTTCCCTCTTATACCAAATGGGGTACTGACAACGTGACATACATCTTTATCATAGTTATGCAATTTTTTATTTTCATAGAGAACTGAAAAAAAGTCGTGATAAAGACAAACGAATCAAATGTTAAAGCCTGAATAATAGATGTCGATATATTATGTACATGTGTGCATTTAGAATGCAGTCGAAACTTGAAAAAGTTTATAGTTGACCATTTCTTACAGAGATGAGCACAGACCAGAGTGTGGGTGTGGGTGGGTGTTACAGTCATATTGTTAACGTTCTCTCTTCGCTCTATGTGAGGTTCGATAGAAAGATATATATTCGTATGTCCTTGATGTACGTGGACTACTTTATTTCGTAAGGAAAAGTAACAACTGTTTTTTAACAATATAGAAAAATACATATATATCGAGAAGAACGAAAAGAACGAATACAAGATCAAAAAGAGATGAAAGAAGATAGAGGATAATACTAATATAGAGAATGTGTGTATACAGGCGACATCACTGTAACAGACGGTAAATGCGTAATTCTATAGGATCCTTTTTCGATGCGAGCGAGGGTGGTTGGATATTCGTTGTATTCAATTGAAACATGCAAACGCTTTTGTATTAGATGAATGTGCATGGCCCCATAAGTATGCAAATAAATAGGTCTACTGTTAATATTTGCAGTATGATTAATAGATTCGCGCAAATTCATCTATGTTTTTTCGTCGTTATGTATTCGAGAACTACTACCGTTTGTCTGTACTTTGACAGGACTGAAAAATCTCATTGATTGGTATAATTGCTCTATGGGCTTCTCATTTGTTCGAGACTAATCGTCGATTAGAAACAGGTCTTTTTCAATAAACAGGAGTTGATTGAAATTCGTGAAAACGGTTCTATTCATATGATGTCATGCGCAATACTATTACACAATAATTATCGTGATCCATTAGTCATCATTTTGCTGCAACAAGAAGATTGAATCGAATGCTGATGGCTAAAAATAGTCTATTTGCAATAGCGATTGCATTCAAACATTTATTTATTTATTATACTGATGTAATCAGTTTCCAACATGCACATAAAAAAACATCAATGCAGACATGAGTCTTTTTAATAGGGAAGTACTTTTCAGTCTTCGATATGCACATTCACCCCCCTAAAAACAGGAAGTAATTTGTTCTATAAGAACTAGCGAATTGCGATTGAATTCAACACTCTCGAATTACTAAGAGCAAACGGACGATGGCAAAACTCATCATCTTGATTATCAGCATTCTCCCAACTATGGTTCTATCGATCGGCGGTGAGTTCAGAAGCAGAACAGCCAACTATAATAGAAAGTCTTTCTAGGATGAGCAATATTGCATACCTTTTTAATATTTATTGAACGTGAATGCTAAATTACGCTATCTTTCTGTAGAAGTTAAGTAAGGTACCGGGAATTCGGAAGCATACCAAAAAAAGATTTCGTTGAATTATATATCATTTGATAGAGCGTTCGATGCTGATTCTGAATATCTCATTTTTAGCTTGCCTGATTATGTGTTGGGTCAGAAATTCTCGAAGTACGAGGGGCACCAGAAAAAGTAAGAAAATGAACGTTTTCAAGAAAAAAGTGTTTCGCCCCTTATGCGCACTCCAATTTTCTGGAAGTTATCTATTCAAATTTAGCATAAAAACTCAGTATATCTGTGTCAAAATCATGACATTTCCTCACCACCCTCTTCTACAACACGATAGAATAGGTCCTTCTAGAGACACAGCGACACCCTGCTCTTGCAAGTCTATCTAGTTTTTTTGTTAAAGAAGCTTTATTAGATATTCATACACCAACCGAAGCGTCATTCGACGAAAAAAAACGGACGTGAGCATTTTGGAAAAAATTTCTCCTTTGTTAGCAAAATAAGATCAATGGGAATAGTTTCAACTGAATGAGTATTACAAATATTATTTATGCAAGAAAAATCAAGTTTGTCTTAAAACTGAAAAATGCAAACTATCATCAAACCAAGCGTAATTATGGTTTTTCCGATCTTCGCGTATTATGTTCAGTGCACCGCAAAAATAGGGTTCAGAAAAACTAAAGACCACGTTCAAGTGAGTAGAGACTAGAGACCGCGTTTGCTAAATGAGAATTTTCAACATATCATAACATCACTATGAGCCGGTTGGGCTTGCTCTGAGTCAACGATTTAGTCAGTCGTCATTGGATTTTGAAACAATCATACTAGTCTTATATGATATTTGATAAAATAAGCAGGAGAAGAAGGGTCATACCTTCTTTCGATGGAACAGAACGAGGGCCAAATCCTCCACTAATGTGATGTGCTGCCTCTCCTGAATGTATTCTTCCAGTGACTGACCGCTGTATCCATCACATAGAGAGAGCAAGAGTGATAAAGCCGAGAATCGCACCAAGAGGGCAGATGGGGACTATGCGTAATGCAACCCAGAGTCTAAGAATCGGGATGCGCAGTCCGTAATTTACCTCGTAACAATGTGAATCTGTCGCACATCGCTTGTTTACAACTCCCATAAATAGTGCATTTTTTCATATATATTCGCTTCAGGATGGATACGTACTGGTGGCATGAATTTTGTACGAGCTTCTCATACCTCATCCGTATTAACAAATGGAAAAGTATTAGTCAATGGTGGGGTTACTGGTTCCGGTGCTTTAAGCAGTGCCGAGTTGTATGATCCAGCAACAGGGGTTTGGACAATCACTAATAGCATGAATACGGAACGATATTGTCACACAGCGTCTGTATTAGCAAATGGAAAGGTGTTGATTAGTGGCGGAGCTGCTGGTGGTGCTAGATATAGTAGTGCTGAGTTGTATCATTCAGAAGCAGGTGTTTGGACAGCTACTGGTAGCATGAATGCGCAACGGTGTTATCATACAGCGTCTGTGCTAACAAATGGACAAGTGTTAGTTAGTGGTGGAGTTCAATACAGGGCTCAAAGTAGTGCTGAGCTGTATGATCCAGCAACAGGAACTTGGACAACTACTAATGGCATGAAATTTGCACGAGCTTGGCACACAGCATCCGTATTAAATAATGGGAAAGTGTTAGTTAGTGGCGGAAGTATCGGCTACAGTATTTTAAAAAGTGCCGAGTTGTATGATCCAGTAACAAGAAGTTGGACAATTACTGGCAGCATGAATATGGAGCGACACTCTCATGTAGCATTCATATTAGCAAATGGAAAGGTGCTAGTCACTGGAGGAGGATATAGCAGTGCCGAGTTATTTGATCCAGTAACCGGAACTTGGAGCATTACTGGTAGCATGCATGCCCCAAGAGCTTATCCTGCAGCTTCCGTACTGACAAATGGAAAAGTGTTAGTTAGTGGTGGATTTGCTGGATATAACAACGGTGGTTATCTCACAAGTGCCGAGTTGTACGATCCGACAACTGGAGCTTGGACAATAACTAGTCTCATGAATAGTTCACGAAACGAGCATGCAGCATCCGTACTAACGAATGGAAACGTGTTAGTTAGTGGTGGATATAGTGCTGGTTATCTAAACAGTACCGAATTATATCTTCCATGAGCAGGATGTTAGGCTTTCCTAGACTTCAGAGTAATATTTCTTTTTCATCTTCAACTTATTTACTCGTAAATGCCTGAAAAATGCTACTAACCATACGGACACTCTCTTTCTGCCGACGTTTTTGTAAGTCATAAATAAATTCTAGATATGAAATTCAACGGCAGTTTTGGTGAAAAATACTCAAGGATGTGGGTGTGGGGGGTGAGTGTAAGTGGGTGTCGGGTATGGGTGAGTGTGGGTGTGGGTGTGAGTATCAACACAGCCTTTACACCCACATCCACACCCTGTACTTCATCGTGGAGCTTTCTCAATTCAATCTATTTGGATACGCTCGGTTTTTGTCGGAAACTGCCTGGTTCTTCAGCAGGAAATATGTCAGCCTATCACAGCTGCGAGCTTACACTGTAAAATGATAGGTACTTTCCAGAACCTTCCAAAAAGGTTTCGTCGGTGTTCAAAAGCTTCCAAATGCGTTGAAATGCTTAAAAAGCGATTCTTAAAATATTCGAAATCTTAAAAGGATCAGACCACGGATACCCGGTCGGAAACATCTCCTAGGAAACTTTTTTCAAGTTCCGTACAGCAAAAAAAGATTTCTTAAGAAAATATGAAACCTTTATAGTCTCCTAGTAAACCTTATGGTTTCGCACTATGGTTTTATACGAAACCATTATTTTTAGTAGGAAAGTATAAAGCTTTCGTATCTTCTTACGAAACCTTTTCTCGCTGTACGGAACTTGAAAAAAGTTTCGTAGAAGATGGCTCCGACCATGTATCCGTGGTCAGATCATTTTAAGGTTTCGTAGATTTTAAGAATCGGTTTTTAAACATTTGGACGCATTTGGAAGCTTTTGAACAACTATGAAACCTTTTTGGAGAATTCAGGAACGTACCTATATTTTTACAGTGTACCCAATTGCGTGCTGTCTGGGAAAATAGCTTATCGTCAACAGTAATGAAGAATGAATATACTCGTGACTTAGGATGTTACCACTAAGAAAAAGCATAGCAATTACAATACATACGATGCTTATCAGGTATTACCATTAACAAATGTAAAACTTTTTATGGTAGTCTAAAGTATTAATCAAGAAAAAGAAATTTCGAAGATTGTCTAACAATACACTCAAAGAAATCTTCCTTCATGTACCTGTTGACATTCAATTACGTCTGTACTCTCTACAAAAAAGGAGCTTTGCCGAACCCCTCGAAAAGGTTCTCGAGATTTGTAAAAGCTTCCAAATGTGTTCAAAGTTTCAAAAAAAGGATAAAAAATTTGACAGAACCTTTTTCAGGTTCTTTAGAGTACCCACTAGCAGAGCCATCTCCTACGGAACCTTTTTTAAAGTTCCGTACAGCAAAAAAAGGTTTTCGTGAGAAAATACGAAACCTTTAGGGTTCAGTACAAAACCATTAGGGTTTCGTACCACAGGTCAATGGTTTTGTACTGAACCCTAAAGGTTTCGTATTTTCCTACGAAAACCTTTTTTTGCTGTACAGAACTTAAAAAACGGTTCTGTAGGAGATGGTTCTGCTAGTGGGTACTCTCCGGAACCTTTTCGAGGGGTTCGGCAAAGCCCCTTTCTTTTAGAGAGTACGACATCTACAAACAAAGTCTCTTTTTGGTTAAATAGTAGTACTAATGCAAGGATGGATCTCGTTGCCAATGTGAGTGTTAAGTGTA